TTTTTTTGTAAAATGGTTATCAAGACATTATTTGTTATGTTGCTCAAGTTTCTTACGTAAAGACTTCCATGGATGCTCCCCAGTGCAATGGCCTAGAAAACTTCTCTCTCCTGAGAAGTCAGTGTGTCCACTGTTCTACATTAAAGGTTACACAACCCTATAGGTTCCCCTCTGTACCTAGATAACTAGAAAGCTCAGGGCAAAAATTCATCTGAGTTTCTTAACATAATGCTTTCCTTTTGTAATAAAATAAGTAAACCTTAGTATTTAACTTTTGTTATTTTGAATTAATGGCTGACTCTTATATTGTGTGCTCCATGAAAGCCATTTCCATTCCTTTCTGGAAATAGATAGGGTACAAAAACAAATAAAACGGAATGCCTCCTTTTGTAAGGTCACCGGACGACCTGAGAGCTTGGGGTTGATTGCTTACAAATGCCAGTCTATGTTATTCTGGTTAAGTTACCCCAATAACCTTAGGTGGTAATTCTGGCTTGTTCAGTGATTTAGAACATGGTATTAATAAGGCCAAGGTCAGGAATCTTGTATCCATATTGACCAGACCTATACCCATAGTGAGTAACCCACATGAGAAATGTATAGTATTAGTCTCTGAGGAGGCGTGGGGTGAGAAAGATGTCTGACCACAAGGCTAAAAGCAATGTAAAGCTTTGAGCCCTACTCACATGAGGTCTGCAGTGTCAACCTTGACTCTGGTGGCATCTCTATCTTCCATCCCACTTTCTATTCCGGAAAGTAGGAAGGTCTGTTGTCAGGCTGGGAATCCCACTAGAAATCTGTTATTCTTTCTTGAAAAAGTTTACCGCTTCTCCATTTAACAAGTGACTTGGAAATACACTGCTCTCCTTTCAGGTAAGTGTCTTTTAGGTTTTTTGAACCAATCTGCTGGTTTTTATTGCTTATTATTATCATTATTATTAATGAAGTTCTGAAAAAAGCATGAAGTAAAATAGGGGTTTGTAAAAGCATTTTCTTTGGGATATTCAGATAAAAATGGTTGGTAACTTGTCTAAATTATGTAGCAAGTAGTATAAATGTAGGGTTGACAAAGAGTTCTACTTTTCAGTTTCTATCTTGTTTGCTACTATATCCTGAATGTCCAACATTGTACCTGACACTTAATAGGTCCGGTTGTAGGATGAACGAATGGAATTCAGGAATAATTTGGTTTGTGAGGTTCTTGAGGATCTGCTGCTCCTACTTTTGTCTTGTCCTGCTGGCAATTAAAGACTTTTTAAGGTCTAAGGTTTACCTTGTTATGGGTTAAAAGCAGGCGCCATGTCTCTAACAGAGTCTGGCATACTATATGATTTACAAATTTCTCAGTAGGTAACTCAGAAAAGCAGTTGGACAGGGTTATTGTAGGGACCCTAAAAAGCAACTTAATTAGAAGAATGGCCTGCCGTCTTGTAGCAACAGAATTCTAAGTATTCCTCATGTTATTTTAGCTTCCTTTCCTTCCTTCTCCTATGGCTATCATGGGATTCCTTGTACCTGGTCCTGAGACAGGAAAGGGTTTTTGATAGATTTGGCTGCAGCCAAGAGTATGGGCTTAAAGAAAAGTGGCTTCTGGCCAAAGGTAGACTGCAGGTAACTAATTCCCCAGTGTATAGTTAGAGCTGCATAGGGATGCTGTGTTTGGAAGCCTTATTTCCATTTCCATTATTTCCACTACTGCTATTTAGAAAGCATTCTAAATAAATGAAGTTGTTCAGTTGCAAAGAGCTCTGCAAGCCCAGGTCCAAAGGCTAATGCTCCCCTACGCCCATACCATACGGTAATATCTATCATTATTAAGAAGTTCTTAGAGAAAGGGCCTTTCATTGATGGAGATCAGTATTCCAGTCAAGAGAGACTATGGAACTTGCTGCAGGCTTTCCCTGCTGGCAGCCATTAATCCTTTTCAAAGGCTGCAGGGGTTGGGGTAGTAGCAATTCCTAAAGAACAGTGCTAAATAAAGGTGAGGAATGGGGAGATCAAAATGTGCTATGAGTTTTAAACAATAAATCAATCTTTATTTATTTAGAGCCTACTATGTGCCTATTTCCATGCTATGAGATAGAGAATCTGACTCTGAGGTATTAAATACAGTTGAACAACATGGGGATTAGGAGTGCTGACCCCTGCACAGTCGAAAATCCACATATAACTTTTGACTCTCCAAAAACTTAACTACAAATAGTCTACTGCTGACCGGAAGGAAGCCTTACTGATAACATAAACAGTTGATTAACATGTATTTTGTATGTTATGGGTGTCATATACTATATTCTTATAATAAAGTAAGCTAAAAATGTTATTAAGAACATAATAAGGGAAAAATACATTTACAGTACTATATTGTATTTATTGAAAAGAAAATCTGTGTGTAAGTGGATGTATGCAGTTCAAAGCTGTGTTGTTCAAGGATCAACTGTATAATCAATTTGGAGACACAAAACTACATACATTAAACAATCAGAGAACAATTACATTTAAATATTTTTTTTTCCAGAGGAAAAGCATAATTGAATGTGGTCACAACATGCTTCTTAGAGGAAGGCAGGCTAGTGAGGCGGGATTTAGACAGAGGGCACTCCCCAGAGGGAGGAGCATATGAATATATATACTCTCACACCCATATGTACAAATACTGCAGGTGTAAGGAAGAACGTATGTGAAGGCATTACTACTTTCACAAGAATTAGAACATAGAATGTATACAGATGATCTCAGCAAACAAGATACTTAGGGAAGGTAGGTGAATAATGAGGATATCTGGGAAAGTCGGGAGCAAGACTAAGTGTAAAGGGAGCCTCTTTTTTGTCTAGCAGAAGAATAACAAGACGAGAGCCACAGTGTTTGTGAAGGTTAGAGTGGTAAATCACTTGGCATAACTGGGGGTGGAGAAGGAAGACAGAGGACAAAGAGACCAATTAGAAAGGCATTTCAACAATCTATATATAGTTATTTAAAGGGAAACTGGCTTAGGGTGAGGTTTGTAAAAGGGGAATTAAAACAATTTTTTTCAATGTTTATTTTTGGAGAGAGAGAGAGAGAGACAGACAGACAGACAGAACCTGAAGCAGGCTCCAGGCTCTGACCTGTCAGCACAGAGCCCGATTCAGGACTTGAAGTCAGAAACCGTGAGATCATAACCTGAGCCTAAGTCAGACACTTAACAGACTAAGCCACCTAGGTACCCCTGTAAAAGGGAAAAGTTAAAAAGGGAGGGGAAAGAGGTACTTGATATTTCAGTGGAGAAAAATGGAATTTGGTGGTTAAATGGATATCATAACAAAGAATAGCATAAGTTCAAAGATGATTTCAGGATTTCAAAGCCTAATGTGAAATAATGATATTTTTCTACTATGTGAAGTTTCTAAAAAAAATTATTACTTATTTATTTTGAGAGAGAGAGAGCATAAGTGGGGCGGGGGGGGGGGGGCGGTGCGAGAGAAAGGGAGAGAGAGAATCCCAAGCAGGTTCCATGTTGTTGGTGCAAAGCCTGACACAAGGCTCTATCTCACGAATCTGCAAGATCATGACCTGAGCCAAAAACCAATAGTCTGACTCTCAACCGACTGAGCCACCCAGGCGCTCCTACTATATGAAGTTTTAGAATCTGTGAAAATGTAAACAATGCTGTTTACAAAGACTATGGAATTAGGAAAGGGCAACAGGATACAACATATTGGGATTTCAGACACTTACTAATAAATTCATTCAAGCATTTGTTGCTTGTGTCCAAAAATGTGCTGAGAGCTCGGAATATAACATCTCATGTAGCTTATGGTCTAGGTTAGAATGGATGGAGGAGCATAGCTCCAGGCATTGTCTAATAAGCAGCTGGAAACACAGAATGCAGGTCTGGAGAGAGGTCTGGACTATAGTGGGATCTCAGAACGTTTTAAATTATACTTGAAAGTAAGAATAAAAAGTAAATATTAGGATTTCTGCTTATGGGACAGATGGTATGTTATAAACTGAAAACAGAGAAACTGAGATCAATATCTCTATTATTTTCTTTACCTTCTTTAACATGTACCATTTTCATATTGGAAAAAGGAGAATAAATATTATGAAGTGAAGAGACTGCAAGCACCCACAGTGAGGCTCAGATGAGTTCATGTTTTCTCACTTGAGAAATCCTATCTCAGAATATTAGGAAAATTTAGAGTTGAGTTTGAGCCATGTCAGGTAATCTGTTAAGAATCACAGGGACTAGCAGAAGTGTTGAGAGATGGAGAGAAGCATATGTAGTCCTGAATTTAAAAGGAAAAAAAAATCTGATAAAATGAAAAAGAACGAGAAGTGGGGGGGGGAGGAAGGGAGAGGGAGGGAAAGAGGAGGGGGAGGAAGAAGAGGAAGAGGAGAAAGAGGAAAAGGAGGTGGAAGGAGAAGAAAAAGAAGTCCAGCATAATCTTG